GGCAGTCAGCTTCTCCGTTCACCTTCAAACAACCGCATCCCGGGTAAACCCTGTCCACCTTCCACCGAAGAAGACAAACACTGGAACACCCCACACCGACTGGAGTCAATAAGAGTCAATCATTTTCTGGAATCGTGAGTCTGCAACCCATTAACCTCTTCAAGTTCGAGAATCAAATTTCCCACTGAGCCTGAACTAACCGCAGTGTCTTCCCCTCACTTTCCAGTTCAAGTTGAGCAGTGTTCAGAGCTACACTGGATTCATCACAACCTTCTCAACAAACCTGTTAAAATTTCCCCTGGTCTCTCTGTATTGGTTTTCTGCATGTGGGTCAGAGCCCTTGATAAAATCATGACACTGAGAGGAAACTTTACTGTAGGTTGTGTTTTGGCTCCCGAGAGGGCCCGTAATTAGAAATACGTTTTGTCCTGAAAGTCTCACACGCTCACCTGTCCCATATGAGCATGACGGTGTATTTATCAGGTAACTAGTTGCTCACCATTATCCACGCAACAACAGGATAAAGAAAAATGAGAAAACATCGAGAGCTTTTTAATCTAAACCCATGCTTAGTCATCCACTCTGAATGAACCCCCGCTTTGGTCCCCGGCAGCTAAAATGGGCTCAAATGCTTCATTAATTGCGGTATGCAGCTGTTTCAGTCTGGAGCTAATGAGAACAAACTATTCAGAGATGTTTTGCTTAATAAATACTTATGAAGTGTCAGATTAGCAAGAAAACTCTTGTTTTAACACGAAGCAAATGTTTAAGTATGTGTTGGCTGTAAAGGACCGGATAAAAGCAGCAACGCTCTAGTTAATTTAGCTTTTCTTAAAGTTCAAACTTATTTTCTTCCCGTTTGTTTGTGCCTCTTATTTAGAGATAATGACATAAGTGTGTATATGCTTTTCACATCAGAAACCAGACATTACAAAAAGGTTAAAAAAAAACACAAACCTGATTATTTTGGTTTTGAGTAGTTTAGAGTACAAAGTAATAAATGGTATCCAATAAATGATTACTGTAGAGGAACTTAAGCACCCGTTTTGGCTCCTGAGAGGGTCCTTAAGTAGAACACGTTTTGGCTACTGTGAGCACACTTTAGGATGCATTTTGGCTCCCAAGAGGGCACTGAAACTGGTTTGTGCTGCAAACTGGAGCGATTATGAAAAAGCCGCCCAGGAGAAACATGGGTGCTATGTATAATATGCAAAGGATGGACAC